GGCCTGGTTTCATAAGAACAAGAGTAAGGCAGAATCTCACACAGAACCTTCTTAGGGACTGTGCAACTCCACACACACACACACACACACACACACACACACACACACACACACACACAGACACACACACACACATGCTCGCACACACACACTCACCCGGTTGTGAGGGAAGTGGGACCCGGCGCCCATGCCAGAGGGGGACCCAGGGGAAGGAACGGGGGAGGTGTTTGGAGAGGAGTGTAAGTTCCCCGTGATCAGCATCATGTCGTGCCCGATGTCGTTCTCCAGCTCGTCCGGGAAGGGCAGGTCAAACATATCGTCTGGATGAAGAGAGGGACACGTCAGAGTCACACACACAGTAATAACACTGGGACATGCTAATGCAGATTAGCCTTTACACACAGAGCACACACTGATCCAACTGCACCCTCTGCTGGTGGAATCATGTACTGCAAATCTTGCTTGCTGGAGGGAGTGAGAATTTCCTATGACTGACAAAATTCCCTACATTGTGTAATTCCCTACAACATTTTATATTTTTCACACTCTCTTAGACACATCAAGAACATTTTTCCCTGTGTATTCAAATATGTTGTCCTCTTCCCCCATGCCTGGATGCCTAGGTGTGCTGGTTTGATATAATCGATGTGTGTAACACGAATAGCCTTCCCTAAGAACATGCGGCTGAAATGGACCGGTAAGCGAGGGAGTGTGTGTGTGGGGGGCAGGGGGGCTGTACCGGGGTTGTCCTCGGTGGGGTAGGTGCCAGGGGCCACCTGGGTGGTGGCGGAGATGGGGAAGACCAGGATGTGGGTGCAGGAGGCATCCTGGGGGGTGCTGAGCTGGGAGGTCTGCAGGTTCAGAGCCGTACTGCGGCCGAAGACGGACCCCATGGTCACCGCATCTGCGTGTACACACACACACACACACACACGCACACACGCACACACACGCACACACACACACACACACGCACACACACTGCACACACACACACACACACACACGCACACACACACACACACACACACACGCACACACGCACACACACACGCACACACACATGCACACACACACACACACACACACGCACAAACACACACACACACGCACGCACACACACACACACACACACACACAGGTGCGCACGCACGCACACGCACGCACGCACACACACACACACGCATGCACACACGCACACACACACACACACACACACATGCACACACACACACACACACACACACACACACGCACACACACAGGGAAAGCACATGTAACATTTACTCTTTTTTACTTTTTTTTTTTCTTTTTACTCTCTTTTTAAGGCATTAACAGTGTAATATCACTGGGTCCTATTCTGTATGAATATCAGTATAAATGTGGCAATGGTGTGTTCTATGAGTGTGGTGACAGTGTGGTACCAGTGTGTCCTGAGAATGTGGTGACATTGTAATATCAGTGGGTTCTGTGAGTGTGGTCACAGTGTGGTATCAGTGGGTTCTGTGAGTGTGGTGACAGTGTGGTATCAGTGGATTCTGTGAGCATGGTGACATTGTGATAATAGTAGGTTCTGAGGGTGGTAACAGTGTGATATTACTGATGCTGTGCGCTGAGTTTTGCGCCTTAGGGGGCCACGGACCTACCTGGCATAACCACGAAGGAGCCCTGCGGCTCCATGGCAACCAGGCAGGCGCTGAGGATGGAGGGTGAGTCAGCGGCGGAGATGCCGCAGATCCGGCAGGCCTCGCGCAGCTGGCGGCTGATGGAGTGCAGCGAGTGCTCCCCCAGGAGGACGCTCCAGTCTGCAGGCAGGGGGCGACAGTGAGTCAGAGCCCATCTGCTACACTCAGGGTGACGCTAGCTACACTGACATCACAGACACCCTCTTCACTCAAAGCTTTTCAACTGAATATACGGATGATGGGAGGTGGGGGAGAAAAAGAAAGAAGATAGTGGGGAGGGGTGTAGGCAAAAAACGAGAGAGACAGAAGGCACAGGGAGCTGTACTGTAAGGCCAGCAACACCATTATCACTGAATAAATGGGAGATACTGGATCAGACTGTGTATGGTTAGAGAATGGAGTCAGCTGCCTTTCACAGCGGCAATGGGACCTACATCACTGCCATCTGGAGTGTGGGCGTACAGGACTATGGGGTGACATTACACAAACTGGATCCAACAAAAACAGGAAGAGCAAGATAAGGCAGAGCTGTACCCTTCAGTTCCCCGTGACCTAGGCGTCCCAGCCGGCCAATCACAATCCTCCAAGGAAGTGAGGTCATCTGGATGATCCCAATGCACCACTCCCACACCTTCTGAAGTCCCATCTTCCTTGGAGAGACCTTCGGCCTTCGAGCTCTGAAAGCCAGCAGAGAGGGAGAGGAGCAGAAAGAGAGGGAGAGAAGGAGAGGGAGAGAAGGGCATGGAGAAGAGGAGAGAAGAAGAAAGGGTAAGGTAGGAGAAGAAAAAGAAAAAAGAAAGATTTAGAGCGTGTAGCCTCTAGCTGTAGTTTCTCTGACTTAAATCAGATCAACATTTGCATTTCTCTGACTTAAAACATGCTTAAATTTGATCAGTATTTGCTGTGTAGGGTCTTAAAGGATTATCAAACTCTCACAGTCCTTGAAGACCTAAATAGCTTCTGTTGACTATCCTATCTTCATCTTCTCATCAGCTGATATTTGTTTCAGAGATCTCGTGATTCCAGATCTAAGTTTAATGCTGACTTCTTGCCTCCTTCAGAGCCAGAGCTGTTCCGCTGCCAAGCCCTTATCTATGAGAAACTATCCTTCGCTTGCCTAACACACAGGCGGCCTAACTCCACTTGGCGCTCTACCTGTTGGGAACGTCGACGTTGATGACGCAGGTCTCCAGCAGCTCCCCCTGCTGGTCAGTGCAGGACACCAGGATCCAGCGCTGGTCGTGGGACAGGCAGTAGCCCACAAAGAGCACGCCGTAGCGGGCGGCCACCTCGCCCCACGGCTCGCCCGGATCCAGCTGCTTGTTGCGGGTGGGGCCCAGGACGAAGGGCGGGGAGTAGAGCTGGAGCGGAACGGGGCGCTGGTGGGGGTTGGTTGGGGGGATGAGGAGGAGGAGAGAGAGGGTTACTCAGGCAATCCTCACTCTAAACTTTCAACCTTCTTCCACAGCATCTGAAATTAACACCAGGCAAGGTGTAAGCAGATCGGTGATTAGGAGTTTTCAGAGAGGGAGAGAAAAAAGAACAAGAGAGAGAGAGATAGGGGAGGGGGGAAGGACAGAGATGGAGAAGGGCAAGAGGCGATGGATGGAGAAAGCAAGAAGCAGAAAGCGAGAGGGAGAGGGATGGATGGATACAGAGGGAAAAGGAAAATGAATGAGAGACAGAATGCTGGAGACAGAGGGAGAGTGAGTAGGGCCAGCAAGGTCAGGCCGGGACCCACCTCGGGGTCCTTCAGGATGGACTCCACGGTGGCGGCGGGGCCGAACCCTGTCAGGGACTTGACGTGCGTCTGCGCGGGCAGCAGCCGCCTGCACTGGGAGTAGGCGGAGAAGGCCAGCGAGCGCAGGTGCTGCAGGTAAACGGGGTTCTCCCCAATGGCTGGCTGCAGCAGGTACTGGCAGGGCACCACCTGGGCCAAACACAGAGCCCTCAGGTCAGCGGGCACCGACACTGGGTCACATCCGCCAAACACAGGCTAACCAACGAACACCCTACTGATGCACATTACTAACATCCACTGACCATCAATACATAAAGCAGGTCCTTCCTGGGTTTTGAACTCACAAACCTCACTCCACACGAAAGCTTGCTGTATCACACCATATACAAGCAGTATTAGGATATCAAAAGATTTACTTTGTCCCCTTCTTAGATTCCAGCTTTCTTAGATTCTAAGAATCAAGATTCTTAGATTATACCTGTAATTCCTTGTTGGGTTAGGATTATAGTTGTATCAACAACATAGGAGTACATTGTAAGTGTCTCTCTATGTCTCCCTCTCAAAAGCAGTTCCCACTTTTAATTTCCTCTGCCCCTGTCCAGATCTATTAACGCAGTTATTCCTTAGTAATGCATTTTATTATGACACTGACCTACTGCATGAAAGGACTGAATAAATTTTACATTCATGGCCACAGGAGAAATCCTAAAAAATTCTAAAATTATGCCAAAAAACATTTATAAAGAATGAAAAAATGTTTTAAATTAAACTACTTTTTGGCATCCCAGAAACATTTTACACTGAAAAAGCATCAGAAGGCTCACCTATCAGATCACCCCGGGTGGTGAGCCAATGAGAGAGCAAATAGGACTGTCATAGCGAATCAGGATCAGAGGGGCGGGGTAGAGCGGGGTAAGATGGGGTAAGGTGGGGTAAGGGGGGTGATGTGGGGTAGGGTGGGGTAGGGTGGGTAAGGCGGGGAAAGGTGGGGTAAGGTGGGGTTACCTGCAGGACGAGCGCGGGCTGCAGGTACTCGGGAATGGCGCGGAGCATCTCTGTATAGCAGCGCAGCAGACCCAGCAGCCACACGCTGCCCGGCTCCGCCTCCTCCTCGTCCTGGTCTCCGCCCACGCTCAGGAACGGGTCCACCACGTACAGCACGATGGCCGGCGGGTGGGCGTGGCTGTCCGCCGACTCCGCCCCCGTGGGGATGCCGATGCGCTCCCGGTCAGCGGAACTGCGGAGGGCGACCTCATTAACACCCACAATGCACCTCAACGCTGCACGCCACTGCGCATTAGGGTCAGATTGTCTCTTCATTGTAACTTATTCATGTTCATTTATTTCAGAGGGAAAAATAATTTGCAAAAATAATTTATAGTGACCATCTGCCATCTAAAGTGAGTGGAGGATGATTGTAGATTAAAGTAACGTAAACTTGTTTGGTTGTGGCAATAACCACATGAGTATAACAGGATCATCACTCCCAGGTCCCAGGCAGTGGCTCTAGCCACTGCACCAAAAAACTCAATAAATGTCAACCAAATGCCTGTTTATTTTAGCCCATTCATGGGGCAGCAGTAGCATAGTGGTAAGGAGCAGGGCTCGTAACCGAAAGGTTGCTGGTTCGATTCCCCACTGGCACTGCTGCTGTACCCTTGGGCAAGGTACTTAACCCACATTTGCCCCAGTAAATACGCAGCTGTATAAATGGATACCATGTAAAAATTGTAACCTGTGTTAGTCACTCTGCTAAATGACAATAATATATTTCACACAAGCAATGATGCCTTATCATCTACTACAAATTATTAGCAATACAGCTCCACTGGTTCAAGTCAGACAATGATGCAATAACCTCCGACAACTTAATGTTTCATGGAGCCCCTGTTTCAGCCATCTCATCTTTGCAGTGTAGATTGAATTAATAAGCACACATGTGCAGAAGTGACCATTCGGGCCACGCCCTTACCTCTCTGTGCCCTCCGCTGGCGGGACGGGGAGTGGCGCCATGTTCGAGGGGTTCTTATGCTCCGTGCCGCCACCCTGCGCGGTCTCCCCCCCTCCCGGCTGGCTGGGCGTCGCCCCGGCGGGGGTCGGGGTGTTCCCCGAGCCGGGAGCCGCGGCGGGTCCGTCGGGGGCCCCGGACGGCGTGGGGGTCTGGCTGGAGGGGTGGGCTGGGAGGCGGACGCGGGGGGTAGGGAGGCTGGGGCTTTGGGGCCTGCAGCAGGCTGCTGTCCAGCGAGAGGGTGGCCAACTGCGGGGCTGGAGAACAGTCAGCAAAACAGTGATTGGTGGAAAATCCCGGGTGAGTCATCACCTCCTGAGTCATCGCACAAGGTAAACACACTGCACAGATTGCCAAACACAAGAAATTAATGTACTCTAAGCATATACTTACAGGGATTTAGCAAATATGTATTTAAAACATGGCGAGCAAACATTACAATGTGTGAGTGGATATTACACACGGGGAGGAAAAAGGCTGAAACAAACAGCAAGACAGTCATGCAGTTGGATGCAGAGATGAAGACAGACGCTGATTAATGAGAGATAATGACATAAAGACAGATAAGCACAAGGGAGAGAGAGACAGGCAGCGGCATGCAGGTAAGCAAAAGGCAAAAGAGCTTGTCAGGCAGGAAAAAAATAGTCAGCCAGCAGGCACAGAAACATACAGGCAAGTGAACAGCCAAACAGCCAGCCATCATAACAGTGGGACAGAATTATAGAAAGACAAGGCGAGCAAATGCACAGACAGTCAGCCGTCCAGATAAACAGTCAGACAGAATGATGGAAAGACAGATAAAGAAACACGCAGGGAAGTGAGCAGCCAAACAGCCAGCCGTCTTGACAAATAGAGTGATGGAAAGACAGGGCAAGCAAACACACAGCCGGTCAGAGGGATGCCCGCCTCACCCAGCTGCTGCCGGCAGGTGTGTGCGTAGAGCTTCAGTTTGGTCAGGTTGTCGTCCTGGTTCTGCCCAGCCCAGGGCTCTGTGAACCACTGATCCACCACCTCCTCCACCAGATCCTGGGGCTCCAGCTCCCCCACCCGAAAAATGCCGTCCCGGGACACCTTGGCCAGGGGGCGGTGTTTCCCCAGGCGGCAGGTCTGAAACAGGGAAAGGGAGAAATAAGGGATTTGCTTTCTTTACATTACATTAATGCCACTTAGCAGATGGTCTTATCCCGAGTGACTTACAATTTTATCCATTTATAAAGCTACCACTAGACATTTACTAAAACAATTGTGGGTTAACTACCTTGCTAAGGGTACAGCAGCTCCAGCAGGGATTTGAACCAGCAACCTTTCGGTTACAAGCCCTGCTCCTTACCGCTAGACCACCCTCCTGCCCTTCTTATCAGTGCCAGACCCACCACCCTCCAACCATATCTCATTTTGCCCCATGTTTCCAAGTGGTGAAAGTTAAGAGTCTTGTCCCGTGGAGGGACGGTGCTAACCTCGTAGACAGCGCTGAGCTCCCGAAAGAAGACATGCGCCCCTGCCAGGAGGGCCTCGCTGTCGGGACAGAGCACCAGGAAGGCTACGTCCCGCGGGCCCCCGTACGGCTCCAGGAGGAGCTTCTCCCAGAAGGGCAGGGCCAGCGGAGACAGGGCCAGGAAGTCCCGGTCGTAGCCTAGCAACAGCGTGGGGATGGGCAGCGGCTCAGGAGACTCCTCTGAACCTGATGGGGACAGAAGACATGAGGGTCATGAAGGAAAAGAAAAGAAAGAAAGAGAAAGAAACAAAGAGAAGAAAGAAAGATAGATGGATAGACAGAAAGAAAGAAAAGAAAAAAGGAAATAAAAGAAAGAAAGAAAGACAAACATTTCTAAGTAATTCAGTGTATAATTATCACTCTTTTGGTTAATAAAGTTTTTTATCTATCCTTAATGGCTCTCCAAAAAAGGCTGCAAAACACACAATACAGCAGTTTTGAAAGTGAAATGTCCCAGCTGGCTCACCGTAGGAGCCGCGGCCGGCGATCTTGTGGAACTGCTGCCAGGTGAGCGGGCCCTGCACGTGCTGGATGTTCTCCCAGGTTCGGCCCGTGCGCTTCTTCTGTATGGCGTCCTGCAGCACAGGCTGCAGAGACAGCAGCATGCGCACCACATCCTGCGAGGACAGTCTGCTGATGTCCATCACTGCAGAGACACACACACACAGAAACACACACACACACACACACACACACACACAACACACACAGAAATACAAACACACACACACACACAGAACCACACACGCGCACGCACACACAGCGAAAACACACACACACACAGAAACACACACACACACACACAAAAAAAACACACACACACACACACACACACATACACACACAGTCAAACTTCTGACAGCTGGCTCCCTACACACCCAGAGAGGGCCACAATCCAAAAGTAGTTAAAAGTTACTCCTTGCCATTTTAGCAAGAGCAGGTTCAAAGGTTTCATGTAATCAAAGCACTAATTCATTAAATTCAGTCATTATTGGCTTCTGTTTCTCCAGGATAGCAAACCTTGGTCCTGGGAGGTTACAATTCAGTAAATTTTCCAGTTCCTCTCTATGTCTGAACCGCCACAATCTCAAAAATGGGGAGATTGATTAAAAAACACTCCAGACCACTTCCTATCAGCTAATCACATGAAAACCTGCAAAGCTGATTAAGAGTGACCTCTCAGTTTAAACCTCAGTGGTCAGCACTGCCAGTGTGGTCAGGATGATCTGTGATATCAGCTTGGTCAGTGCAGTCAGGGCAGTCTGTGTCAGCGCGGTCAGCGTGGTCTGTGAGGTCAGCAGGATCAGGGTGGTCTGTGATATCAGCGTTGTCAGGGTGGTCTGTGATGTCAGCTTGGTCATGGTGGTCAGGGCAGTCTGTGATGTCAGTGCAGTCAGGGCGGTCTGTGATGTCAGTGCGGTAAGGGCGGTCTGTGATGTCAGCGCGGTCAGCTGCGGTCGCCCTTACCGTTGGTGTGGGGCCAGGCGTGCAGGGCGCTGCTCCTGACGACGGCCGGGTCCACTCTGCCCCCTGCTGGGTTGTCCACGTACTGCTGGCCCTGCACCAGGGCGTTGTAGCACTCCACGCAGGCGTCGCTGTCGTCCGCCCACAGCTTATCGGAGGCCCAGCTCTGCAGCAGCGCCCCCTGGCGGCCGCGGCAGGAACAGGCCGGGTGCAGGTGCAGGGAGGAGGGCGAGGAGATGGGCCGGGAGCACTGTTCCTGGAGGAGCTCCAGCACGGCGGCGGGGGCGTCCTGGGGCCGGCGGGCCCCGGGGTCGCCCACGGGCGGGGTCCTCCGGCAGAGGGCCAGCCTCCGCTCGGCCGCCCGCCCCACCTCCGAGCCCCGCCCGAAGATGTCCAGCTCGTCCTCCAGGAAGAGGCCGGCGCCGTGCGCCAGCCGGCGGTTGACGATGGCGCTGAAGCCGCAGGTGCAGCGGTACTGGTCCTCGCGGCTGGAGTCCGGGATGTACAGGCCCACGTCGGCCCCCTTCACGTTCATGTTGCAGGCGCAGATGCAGCAGCTGTCGAAGTTGCGGTCCCGGAACACGTCCAGCACCGAGTCGGACAGCAGCAGCGTGGCGTACAGGCTGTGGGCCTCGGGCAGCGCCGGCGCCGCCGCCGCCGGCTCCACCGAGCTCAGCGGCCGGCTGGTGGAGGGCGTGGAGGCCGGCGAGCTCAGCTCCGTGCCCTCCTGCTTCACCGAGCCCTGCCCGCTGGCCGCGCCCACGCCCCGGGGGGTGCGCGGGGTGCGGGGGGTGGGCACGGAGAAGCGGGGCGTGGCGGGCGAGGGCAGCACCCCGCCCATGTTGCCCGCGGAGGCCACGCCCGTGCTCAGCTGGGCGTAGTCCTGCTCCATCAGGCTGTTGACGCTGGGAATGTTGCTGGGGGAACAGATACACAGCGGTTACCACCAGAGGAAACTCTCAGAAATCAGTGCATCTGTTTGGTCTGATTAATTCAGGGTGGGATCAGTGCTCATCCATGACCTGCAAACAACGTGCCGGTTCCTGCCTTTGAGAGCTCCGGAAAGCAAAGCTCAAACCAAATGATTTCACTCAGGGACGTGCTGAAGCTTGTTTTACCTTTGGTTCTACTGGGTCAAGTGAAGTCAATATTTCAACAGAGATTTTAACTGTCTGCCACAGTGTGTTAAAGTGGTTAATGATAAAACTTCAGATAAAATGATAAAACTTCATGATAAAATTTCAGAACCTGCAGACTTGCCAAACACCAGAATTTTTGTCAATTCTGCTTGAAAAGCCAAAAAAGGCTTAACACTGCAGGCTTGGTGTCTACCCTTTACCCATAAAGCATTGTGGTACAGAACAGCCACTGTAATCCTACCACCTAGCCACACAGGCTAACCACACTTCCCCTTTGGCTACTCTGCCCTCTGCCTCAGCCTATGACTGAGCGATTCTGTCAGCACTGTCACAACCAATCACAGACACTTACACGTACCCATCCCGGAGGAAGGGGACCTGTGGGTGGATGGGGAGGTGCTCCATTTTGGGGGGCAGAGCCCAGGACGGCCGGTAGTAGCAGTTCTCCGGGATCTTGAGGGGGGGCAAGCACTGACTGGGGAGGGTCCGGAGGGGGGCGAACATGGAGCAGCCCATGTGCAGATGGATGGGGGGGACACGGTAGAC